CCACCAGGGAGGGCCGGTTCAAGTTGTTTTTTAACTGCAGCTCAGACATCTCACTGGGGACCCTGTTCCTGAGACATGGGTGGCGAGGACCCACTTTAGTCTTTACCTACCACCTGTGCAGAACACTAACAAGCACCAGCACCCGCAAGCAGGTGGTTGTGACCTTGGCCAGAAGGGAAGGGTTGAGACTTGGTCTTGGAAAGCCCCAAGTTTCCCTGTTGCACAGTTTACACCCAACCCTGCCGGCCAGGAGGCCCGGGCGGCTGCTGTGAGTTAGAGACGGTTACTCCCTCTTACGCTGTTTGCGTAAGGTGAGCCTGCTTCTCTCACACTCCCCACTTCTCTGCAGACACCACCCGTGCGGCCAGGAAAGGTGCCGTGCTGACCCCGCGCGCCCTTTCCCGAGGCCACTCTTAACACACTTGGTGCTGAAGAAAAGAAGCACACCACCCCGGGACCTGCCTCCACTCAGGTTTGCATTCCCAGGCCACTATCCAGAGGGGGGACACGCTCAGGCAGGTGACCAGTCTTCCCTGGGTGTTAACGGGTCTCCTGTAGGGTGGCCAGACACTGTTGACCCTGGGGAGGTGCACTGTCCAGAGGGCCAGCACCCACCTGCCTTCGTGTGTCCGGAAGGAGCGTGCTACGCCTGGTGCCCTCAGGTCTGGGCTTTCTCACTCCTTTCCTCCCGTTTGGGAACAGATGTCTTCAGTTTTGCACAGCCACTCCCCACGTGGTGACTGTTTGGCCAGTGACACCGTGGACCGGACGGAGCCCCCAGTGGGCTCTAGCGCACAGCCTGGGCTGTGACCCTGCTCTGACACTCACGTGACGGGAAGTCACACAGCAGCGCGGGGCTCCGGGGCCCAGAGTGTCCAGGCTGAGGACGTTGTGTGTGGTGGGCGTGCTGCCCAGCCATCCCCTCGCCAGCACTGACCCTGGAGGAGTCACCATGGTTCCTGCCTGTGGCTTTCTAGGAAAGGCCCAGCGGGGAGGCCTCACCCTCCGCCTACCCTGGCCTCAGTGCTGGTTCTGGTTGGTTCTGGGCGGAGCCAGGCCTCTTGCTTTAAGGGAGGCTGCCAGTGCCGTGTCGCTGGGGCCGGCCCGCAGAATGTTGTAGCTGGTGCCTTGACGGCTGCCCGGCGTCCCGCCCACCTTCTCAGGGTTGCCTCCAGCACGACATCTGTGCCGTGTGAAGTTGCCCAGGGCCGGGTTCCAGAGTGTGGGTCGCCAGCCTGTGCTGTGCTCGCCTGCGGCCCCTCCCGCTGTCTCTTACCCGCCTCCCCACCCCCAGGAGCAGCTGTGACGTGGGGTCTCATACGTGTTCCCGAGCGCCTTTCCCGTGGGGACCCTCGCTGGTGAGACCTCACGAAACCGAAGCGCTCACCTGGTCATCCGCCAGCCGGACTGGGGACTTCAAGCTGTTTGTAATCTGTTGTCAATTAAAAAACAAACCTGGGCTTAGTAAGAGACTGTTTTAGGACCATTGGCGGTGTTGGGGCTGTCACAGTGGGGGGCATGTGGCCCTGAGATCAGCAGCTCCCTAGAGGGTTAGAGGAGCATGGACCCCTTTGCAGGGAGGTGTGGACACAGCTCAAGGACCCAGGTGGGGGTCGTGGGGTGAGGACTGATAGATCATAGCATGCTGCGCCCCTGGCCAGCATGCCTTGGGGTGGGGTAGGGGGTTGAGGGCTCAGCTGGTAGCAGGCCCAGGGCGGGGGGAAGGAATCGGAACCCGAGTGGAGACGAGCATGTTGTTTCGGGCGGCCAACTCATCACTGACAAGGCGCAGGGTGGAAGTGGGGGTCAGTGACCCTGCCTCGGGGAGCAAGGGCTTCTGGGGATGTCAGGTCCTGTGCAGCGAGCCCTCGCCAGAACACAGAGGGACGGGATTTCTGACACACCGACGGGGCCGGGACACGGGGGCTGTCAGAGCCCCGCACCGGGTGGGGCGGGGGGTGGGGGCTGTCCTGACGTGAGGTGCAGCTCCTCCGGGCTGGGTGCCGGCCACTTAGCCCTGGAACCTCAGCCAGGGCACCTGCCCAGGCCTGCGCCATTCAGACCGGTTCGGGGGCGGTGAATCTGAGTGGGCTGTGACAGTGAAAAGTCCTGTGTGCACAGGCGCAGCTCCTGGCACGGGGTGGGGGGCTCTCGCTGCCTCCTTGCAAGGCTTTCCGCGTGGTGCTGCCTGGCTGCTGAGCTCCCTCTGGTGCGTGGCAGCCCTTCCTCTGCTTTTAAGATTATTAAAAACCTCAACTTCAGCTCTTGGCTTCTCCCTTTTCTCTCTCTTTTGGACCCTCCTCCACCCCCTCATCTACTGACTTGGGCTTTTAAAAGTCTGTAACTCACTTGAAAATGTAAACATCGTTGAGAGACGGAGCTTGAGCAGTATCTTGCTGCAGGCTTCTAAACAGGCTTCTGAAAGCTTCGTGTGAGCGTGTTTCGGCGGCCCTGCTCTGCTGCGCCCGTGTTTCACACACGGACGGTTGCCGAGCCTGCTGCAGCCACTTTCCCCAGCAGCGTGCGCTCCTCCTGTCTCCTTCCCGTTTCATGAAGGAATCGTTTGTTTGGCTGTGATATCACGGTTCCCTTAATAGACTACAGCATAGTGTGAACATAACCCAGAAAGCCGTGCAGCTCACTTCTTTGCGGTATTGACTGACCGAGCCCCGATATCTCTGAGAGACCCGTGTGCCTGTGGCTTCACCAGCACTCAGGGGCCGGAGTGTGCACGCCCTCCCGCTCTGTGCACGAGGCCGTGTCTGGCCTCACCGGCCGCGCGAGCTGCTCCCCGGAGCTGCTTCCTGGGCCTGCTCAGTGGCTTGGCACTGTGTGCATGGGGGAGGTAGGAGATTCAGGCTCAGAGTTCCCCTGCTGAAGCCTCCCCTTTCCTGGCTGTTTCAGACGCGGCCACCACAGACAGTAGGAAGGAGCGTCCCGATGGCTGAGACGTTGGATGGCACCGATCACCAGGTAGGAAATGAGCGTGACTGGCAGAGCGTGGTTGTTTCTGGAATTGGGAGCGTCAGCCAGTTGCTCCGTGTTTGTTGTGTTCTGGCACCCTCGGGTGCCTAGGAGAGGCGGACAGTGCATCTCTTGTGTAGGGGCTAGGCTATAAGGCTATAAGGGACATAGGTGCCTGGTGGGCCGTGGATAGAAGGGTGTTCTGAGGCAGTGCCAGGGATGTGGGCCACAGTGGGGTGCCCAGCGGTCGATGCCAGTTTCCCAGACAGAAGAAGGGGGGTTGCAGAATGGGCTCACTGCCCAGTGTTGGGGCTGCTCCAAAGCCTTGTTGCTCTGTCCCTGCTGCTCGCCATTCACGCCGCCTTCGCGGCTGCCCCTGTGTAGGGCCCGCCACAGGCAGGATGAGCAGTGGTCCGCCCGTCACACCCCTCATTGCCAAGGGTGGTGGTCACGCCTAACATGGGGTCTGAAGCCCTGCCTGGATGTGCACAGGCCTGCTGTGGCCCGGGAGCGCCCGTCTTCAGCTCTTGTTACTATCGAACTGACTGGTTCTGACTGAGCCAGAGTCTTTAGAGGGAGCCTGTTTGTTTTGGTTGGGGGCCAGCAGCTAAGAATAAACTTCTAGAAGAGCTAGAGAAGTGCCCAGGACCTGATTCCTGGCAGCCATGGACAGGACAGTGGAGGGGGGCAAGGACAGGGTGGGGGTGCCGGCTGGGCGGGGGCACCAGTCACACCACGCTGGGAGGAGCACTGCCAGTTCAGACCAGCGGCACCTGCAGCCTGTCCTGGCGGCCTGCCCTGGAGACCCGGACCAGAGGTGTGTGCAGACGTGTCTGTCTGGGCAGTCCCCGGAGAAGCGCAGTTGCCAGCACAGAGGGTGTTTGAATTACTGCGTCCCCTCCAGAAAGCCTGTTGTGCCGACTGACCTGTTCCCAGGGAGAGCTGGCTTTGTTCCCCTCGCTGCTGGCCCCTCCCCCCCCTTAGGACTGTGGCCCTGGCTTACCTTTCAATTGCAGATCGTCTGCATAAAAAGGGAAGTTTAAAAAGGAAAATACTCAGGAGTAAAAAGTTTTCTAGAGCTCACATTGAAGTGCAAGGAAGCTGTTGAGCACTTCATACACACTGGGCCTGGGCCCTCCGGGTGCGTGGTGGCCCCAGGAAGATGGCCCTCAGTGGACGTTGACCTCCGGCGTCATGCATCCTCATGGAACTGGGGGCCAGCGGTCTGGAGGCACAGCTGCTAGGTGTGGTGGTCAAGCGTGCTTGGGGACCCACTCTGGGGTTCACTGCAGGTTGCATCCCCAAAGCACGCAGCAGGAGGGTGGGAGGGACCCAAGGCCCCCCAGGTGGGTTTCACACGGACTCCTGCCGGGGTAGCCGAGAGCAGCAGCGGAGTCTCACGTCCTGCCTGTGATTTCTGCTCTCAGCCCCACAGCCTTCAGGCCTCTGCATCTGCGGTGAACTTGAGTGCAGGAAAGAATTAACTTGAGTGTTGCTACCTGGGCTTCTGGTTTTCGTTTCTTTTCTTTCCCTGGTAGTTTACAGCATCTTGTCATCTCAACTGCTTGTGGGGTACACATGCTGCCCAGGTCCGGGGGACCCCAGAAGCAGCGTGATGCACGGCTATGAGGTGGGAGGTGCACAGAGCACAGGAGAGCGACTGCTGGTGTTGTCAGAGACCCTGGGGAGGAGCTAAGTATGCTGCAGACACAGCGCAGTGCCGGTGGCTGAGGGCCGGCCCCTGTGGACACCCAGGGCACCGTGGGCACTGCTCCGCCTCTGGCATGTGGTCTGAGCTTGTATTGTCGGGAGACGGCCAAGGACAGGCTCTGAAGGGCCGGCCCAGGACAGGCCGTCTGTGCGCCATCCAGGAAACTCCCGCCCCTCAGGCCCTGCTGGGCCCAGCTAGAGTGATCCGGGCTTCCACGCGTGGGCCGCAGCTCCGCTGTGGGGGCCGCAGAGAGGGTGTGACATGTCCATGCTTTGCATCTGCACCACGCTTGCCGCGGGCTGAGGGAACCTAGCTGCAGAACAGGCGTCTCCTGCGTGACTGCCAGTTAATTATTGTGAAAGTGACTGGTGAGTGTTGGGTTAAATGAAAAGTATTTTAAAACCCCTTCACCTGTTTTTAAATCTTTCAACATGACTTCTTGGTGCATCTGAGATTATGCATGTGGCTCCTAGGTGCAGCTTGTCTGGTGTCTCTGTTGGAAGCAAGGATTCTGGACTTTTCTTTGGTACACTCTGTATATAAGGTCTCACGTCTGGCCTGCAGGTTGGGAAGCTCTGATTAATAACCAGTGCCAGGCTTTCAGAATACCTTTCTTTATGTGCTTATTTTTTAAAGGTTTATTTATTTATGTATATAAAACAGGGAGGGTACAGGCCAGAGGTGCAGCAGCAGTGAGAGGCTTCACCAGGGACAGAGTGGGGAACAGAACAGGCAGGTTGACCAAGTACACTGCTGAGGGGAGCAGGGGGTGAGTCAGGAGAGGTCTGCCGCACCATGTGGGTCACCTCCATGGCGGGGGATTGAACTGGTGCTAAGACAGGTGCGACTAGGTTTACAGTGCCACCTGGGAGGGCCCTTAGAATACCTTTAACCTAGCATTAAGTGGTGTTGATTTTGCCCTCCGCAGACAATTATAACACCTTCAACAACCATCCCATAGTCTTACCAGTTGGGTGGTGTCCCCCAGGGGCCCAGTGCCAGGCTGACTTGTTTTTCCACACACAAAAAATGGGTTTTCCGCTTCAAGTGTGCCCCCTGCAGAGGCAGCCTGGCTCTGTTTACCGAGCAAGGCTTCCACCACAACCGGATCCCTGTCTCCTTCCTGTGGGTATGCCCAGGCCCCTCTCCCCACTTACAGCTGTCTCTGGTGCCCACTGACGGCACTCTGAGTCCACATGTCCGGATGGCTTTGACAGAGCAGGAGGGACCACGGTTTAACCTCTCCTGCCCCTGGATGTGCAGCTGTGGGGTACATGAACAGAGCTTTGGAGAGACCCGCAGGCATTCCCACATCTGGCCAGGCTATTTATATCCCACAAAGGCCTGTTTTCCTCTGACAAGAGTGGGCATGTGGTGATGCTGTCATGCACAGGGGTGAAGTCAGTGAAATGAGCCTTTCATTAGATGACTTCCTGGGGTGCCCGACACATTCTCATCCACGTGCATATGCCTGGGGCTTCACGTCTGGGCCACTGCTTCTGGGAGAGCCCTCACATCAAGCACAGCCCGTCTCCTGTGTTGGGCTGACTTGACTGGCCCCACAACCTCTGGGGAAGAAACAGTCTCTCAGGGGTACATCACTACAGTGTTTTCTGAACCCCTGTTCGGGGCCTGCATGACCTAAGCCTCTGCCATGGAAAAAAGCATTCCACTGTCAGGAAAGATGGACCACAAATGGGGACCGTAAGTCAGATATAAGGTGTGCAAAGGGGAGACATGGGGTGGAGTAGGCGGAGCAGCAGGTGCAAAGGCCCTGGGGCAGGGCAAAGGGCTGGGGGGCGCAGCGTTGGCAGCTGAGGGTTCGGACAGGACCGCAGTTTCCCAAGGAGAATGGGCCATTGTCACCCGATCTGACTTGTTACAGTAATCTTGCTTTCTGTACACACACCCTGTTCATCCTGTCTCTGGAGAACCCTGACAAAGCACCTAGTGCTGGGGCCACCAGAAACTAGAGCGGGGAAGGATTCTCCCCTCAAGCCTCTGCAGCGACTGTGGCCTGCTGAGACCCTGCTTTCTGCCCAGTGGAACTGATTTCAGACCTTTAGCTTCCAACCTGGTAGAGAAGAGGTTCCGGTTGTTTTAAGCCAGCCAGTCTGTGGTAATTGATCAGATCAGTCACAAGAAAAGGAAATAAGCCAGTGCAGTTGGCCACACATAGAGATTTCAGATCGCGGTGCTGCTGGACCAAGAGTCTTCTTCTAGAAGCCTGTTTCTAAGGAGACAGGCATGTTGTCTTTTCCTGGTGAGGACTTGCTGGGGACATGCTGAGCGGGGCCTTCCTCTGCGTGTGGTGTCCTCACACGCGTGTGCACGCTGCGTCTCCTGAGGCCTTGGCTCCTCAGGAATTCACATCTGGACACTGACTCTGGCCCTGCTGGCTGCAGCACCCTGTACCCCCAAATACTGTGTCCCTGGTGCCCTTTCCACTTGCTGCCATGCTGTGCTGCCCAAGCTGGGCTGGCCCCACCCATGCCAGGAGCCTGACGAGGTCATGGCCTACACTTAACCCTCTGCTGGCCTTGGCCCACCCAGGCTGCAGGTGGAGGTGTGGCTGCAGGTGCCTAACCCACACGAGGAAGCTGGCTCAGCAGAGCAGGCATGGGGCGGGTACAGGTGTTGCAGCCACCGGGCTTCCAGCCGCTTTCCTCCCAAGCAGGCCCAGCCTGCTCTCCGGGAGGCAGGGAGTGGGGGTGTGGGGGTGGGGGGGGAGGAGTGAGGGGGTGGGGTCCAGTCTGCACTCTGCAAGGTGGCCCCTTTGTCTCCCTGACATTGTGTGACTGGAGGCGCTGCAGGTACGACTGGACTGCCACTCACCTGCACCAGGTCAGTGGAAGGGAACCAGGAGCCCCTTCTGGGGAATGGATAGGGCAAGGAGCAGGACTTGTGGGACGTAAATGGGACCGGAAGCAGGGCCATGGAAGGAGGACTGGGTTCAGGGCTCAGGGGAGAAGGGAACAGGGCCATGGGAGGAGGGAGGCGGATGGAGAGCAGGCCCTGTGGCAGGCGAAGGAGGACACAGGAAAGGTGGTGCGGCTTTAGGGTAACCTTTGCAGCTGCAGGGTGTGCTGTTAGTGCCCACTGATAGCAGTGGCTGTTACCAAGGGTCACCTACATGCAGGAAACAGCACATAGGGGTTCTCCTGGGGGAGAGGGGGTTTCAGGAAACGTGTGGTTCGCTGTGGGCTGGGGTTGGCCTGTACTGGTGAATCAGCCCGGCCAGGGTCTATGCAGGTGGTCTGGAAGGGTGGGGAGTTCCGGCTGAGGACGGTGCTGAGTC